CGGGGGCAAGGCCAGGAGGTTGACCATCTCTCCGAACAGGTCTGACTTGGGGTCCACAGGTCGCTTGGTCATCTCGAACAGGAGATCCCAGATGTTGTCGAAGTCTGGGTACAGTCGAGAGCAGCCTAACGAGTCACTGATCTCCCACTCGCCTCGGGAGACTTGATCTGACAGGTTTGCCTTACTCGCAACTCTGACGAAGATTAGATTGAGTCTAACAGTAGCAGCCCAGCACCAAAACCAGCCTAACAAGTTGGTCAAAAGGGGGTCCTTGGAGTAGCCCTTCTTCAGGGCGTGCTCACTGGCCACGTTGTCGACGAAGCACAGCACGTCCCCGGACAGGACCCTGGCTGCTGCTGCTATGCTGACGATCTGTCCTATCGCCTCCAACCAAAAGATGAAGGCCTTAGTGGAGGCAGCTCGTGCTAACAGGTGTCTGGGAACCGTGGCTCTGTAAGCCCACTTCTGTCCTGAGTTGGCGAACAAGACTGCACCGAGTCCGTTCACGGAGCCTCTCAAAACTTGCAAGGGAGTGGTCTGTTTCAACCACTTGGCGGCTGACTGGAAGCATCCTGCCAGTGTCACAAAGGCGTCCGCGTACAGGACATGCGGACGTGAGGTGTTTACTCCTCTTTGCAACGGGAACTCACGGGGCTTCAGGGAAGGTAGGAGAGCTAGGAGATTTCTTAGGGCAGCTGAGAGGGGTTCGTTAAGCTTCTTCTGTGGGAAAGGCGAGTGCTGACGTGTGTAAATGCACTTTAGCAGTGCCTTGCCGGCTCCGCCAAAGACCCAAGAGCAAACAAAGTTGAGTTTACCTGCCAGGTGAGCGGCTTCTTCACGTGTCAGGCTGTCGTCTGACAGGATTTTCTCAAGAAGTGACTGGAGTTTCTCTAGTCGCCCCTGACTGGGTCCTGCTGCAACAGTCTGCTGAAGGATCTCCCAGAGGACCCCTAACAGGGTGGACTTGGAACAAGGTTTCTGGGCTTTGCTTTCTTTCATGGTGAAGCCTAACAGGGACTGCAAAAGGCAAAAGCACTCGAAAGCGGAGTCAGCAGTTTTGTCAGGCTCACTGAAGTAGAAATCGTCTACAAAATGAGATGCTGGGATGTATGCCAAGACTAACGTGATCAGGCAAATAACATCGGCGATTCTCAAGTAAGCCCAGACGCTGCCTGTCCCTCCGAAAGGAAGGACGAGGTGTTGATAAACCTCTGGTCCTTTCTCTGACGGGACGAAAACGAAGCATTCGTCGGGATCCCTAACTGGGAGTGCCCTATAAGCTCCATCATGGTCAAGAGCTGCTAAAACTGGCTGACCGAAATCGGCCGCTGCTTGCACTGACGTGAGGACCGTTTGTGTACCCGCATAAGGCTGCGAGTCGAGGACAAATACTGTGCTGTTGTGTCCTGACCGGCGCCAATCATCTGCTCGGCGGACCTTGTCTTGTTGGACTACCGGGAAGGCTCGGGAACCGAAGGCTGCTGGGGACTCTGCCACTGTGTCGGGCACGAACGGGCCCTTGAACCTTGTCTTCAACATCTCTTTGTCAATCTCTGCAAGCATGGCAGGGGTATGCTCAGAACCTCCCTGCTCCTGGGCAAGGGCATTCTTGTGTTCGCCGTCGTTCACGGATGTGAACTGGGATTTTGTCAGAGGCCTGCTGTACTTAGCGTCTTGGCGAACGTCCCAGTGAGTTCCTGGGGGCAGGGGTCCTAGAACCTTAAAACCGAACTGGAGCTCGTCAGCAAGGTCTTGAAGCCCTGGGAACTCGAACAGTCGCAAGAGGTGTAAGACCACTAAGGGTTGTAAAACGAACTGATCTCCTCCCTGCTTGTAAACGAGACGAACGTGGTCTGGTGCTGACTGCAGCCATGCTTCTTGTTCGTCTTGCAGGTCCTCTCTGAGGGACTGGACGTCTCTAACAACTTCTTTCCTCCACCTTTGCAACTCGGAGCCCAAGGACTGGCCGAACTTCAGTGCCCACGTAAGGCAAGGGTTGTGCGGCGGAAAGTTTAGCGCGGTGCCTTCAATGCCCAGTGCTCGAACGGGTTCTCCGTGGGTCCTACCAACTGCAGTGGTTCAGCCTCGCGCGGGTCCCACTGGATGCCGGACCTCAGCCAAATGGCTGCAGCTTGCTCCACTGGTCTTGAACCTAACGGGTTTAGGTTAGAGAACCAAGGCAGAGGCTCGACCGGGGGGTACCATGCCTCAATGGGACCCGACGTGACAGGAATCACGTTGCACGCGGCCAGCAGCACGAACAGAAGGAAGCGTGCTGTTGGTAGGTGCCAGGCGTTGCCTAACATCCTGCACCTGTCCTTTGAGCTGACTGGCTGTCCTGGGGGGCAAGTGGACCCTACCGGTAGTCCCTGTAGCCACTCACGTGTCTCGGCATCGGGTGTTGTGATGCGACCTTGGATAGTCACCAAGGCTCGAGTGCGGTACTGGTAGGGCGGGTACTGACGGGACGCCGCGGCCCACCGACGCAAAGTCTCAGGGCTTTCAGTACGTCTGCGCTTCTGTGGTGGGTCCCTGCCTTTTTCTGACGGGGCTGGCGTTGTCAGGCAAGGAAAAACTGACCGGCCGGCCACCACGTCTGGGTGAAAGACTGCTGTCGGGCACTCGGCTGCGTTCTGACGTGGAAACAAGTTAGAGCTAGGTACCAACTGCCAGCAACGGTTGTAGCGCCTCCAGCGAGCGAGTCCTGCGAGGACTACTGGTGGTTGGGCACAGTCTAGCGCAGGTGGTGACAAAACGTTCGACCACCAAAGTCTGGGCCGGGACACGACCCCCCAGGAGGCTGCGTCGACCACGAACGAGTTGTGACCGACTAACTTGTCTAGTTCACGGTGAACTTCGGCTGAAGGGAGCACGTTCTCAACCAAGAAAACGTGTTGACGCTGCAAGGCTTTCCGAAAGGTAGAAAGCCACTGACACCACTGGCGGAATTTGCAGCCTTCTTGACCTTGTAAACCTGGTGGCGAGTTCCTGACCTGACTGAAGTCGGTACACGGGGGGCTGGAGCACACCAAAACAAGTGTGTCGGACGGGCACTGCGAGTGTAGAAGAGTTGCAACCTGACAGGGGTCGGAAGACAAGGCATCCCCCCAGTGACGGGTAGAGGGGGAGTGAGCGGAGGTAACACGACGGCACTCAGGGTCAGTCTCCCAAGACCAAAGGAGAACTGGGTGTATGCCCAATTCACGTAGAGCCAGGAACGTGGTGCCTATGCCACAGAAAAAGGACAGGACTGCAATCCCCCTTGACGAGGGGGTGGGTGCACGGTGAGACTCGGAGGTGTGTTGTGGTGGCTGCTGACGGGTGAGGGGTCGCGCAAGGTTGGAGTGTTGGCCAAGTCCAGAGTGGCCTGAATGGGAAGAGGAGTAGGCTTGCAGTGGGGGTGTGCTCAACCTGAAGGGAGCACAACGCACGGGTGTGGGTGCCGGGGGGTTGCACGGTGTGGCCTGTAGTGGAAGTACGAGCAGCTGGCGAGCCGGTCGCGGTGGGAGCAGGTTGAGTAGGAAGGTTTGTGACTGACTGGGTGGAAGCAGAGGTGAGGGTAGGCCTCACAGCAGAGTGCGTGACTGGCAGAGTGCAAGCCTGACTGGGCGCAGCTGGCTGCGGTCGCACAGGGTGAGGGTTAGGGTAAGGGTCCGCACACCGGGTGCGTGCAGGAAAACACGGGTCAGGGGCAGCGCTGCAAGGGCCTGACGTGAAAGTCCAACCTAGGGGTTTAGGGCCTGCACACCCTGAGGGTGCAGGGAGACACGGGTTAGGGATGCCACGAGGGGAACCTGCTGGACAAGTCCTTGCCGGGGTCGTAGGGCCTGCACACCCGGAGGGTGCAGGGAGACACGGGTTGGGGGAGCTGCTGCACGCGCCTGACGAGTCGGACAAACCTGACACTTGAGGCTGAGGATTGGGCGGAGTGGGTTGTGTCTTCTGCCCTTCCTGTGAACGGTCGGCTCTCGCTGACGGGGCAGACAGCGGGCCGTGCTGTCCCTAAGGACGGGGCGCCGGGGCGAACGGGGCTGCTGGGAACACTGGCGGGAAGTGCGGAGGCGGGGCTTGCTGGCTTGGTGTCTGGTTTCCGTGTGCGAACTTGCACGACGCTCCAAACTTACAGTAGCCTTGTGCGAACAGGCGACACTGAGGACGGGACTGCGTGAACTGAGCCGCTGGCCGGTACGGGTGTGGCTGCCAAGGTCCTAGGAAACCTTTGCCTTTCCCTGGCTCAAAACCTTTCCAGGAGTCAAAGGATTTCCCTTTGTGTCCTTTGTGATCGCCTTTCTGTCCGAAGTCGCCCTTGGTCCTGCGGGGCTCTGTGTTCTCTGACGGGGCAGGCCGATTCAGTTCGTCCTGCTTGGGCCAGGACCTCACCTCGGCGGATGCTTCACTGAAAGACTTGCTGGCGCGCATCTGCAAGGTTACGTGCAAAAAGGCCTTGTCGAAAAACGCCCTAACCTGCGGTGTCTTACTAGGGTAATCTCTGCAGAGGTTCTGCCAGAACTCGGCCCAAACAGACGCGTCGTGCTCGTCACACCAACGGGCGAACATGAGCGCCCATTTGATGGCCTCGATCGCATCCAGCATGGTGACGAGTTTCTGAGGTTCGGGTACCTGACGGAAAGCCTTAGTAAAGGTGCCTGACTCATCAAGAATGAGTCGGGTCTTGCTGTCGTCCTTGGGAGCAAACGGGTTTGCTGACTTGCTGGGGGTAAAGTGCCTCAAGGAGATTATTTCTCCTAAGCGAACTGGAGAGTACTGCTTCGACGATTGGTGCTGGTGCACCATTCTGGAAAGGACTTCCTCTGCTCCTAAGAGGAGGTGGGCTGGAAACACCCTATTCCGTCCTAACAAGGTGACCGACTCGAACTCCTTCACGTACTCTGACCAGTAGTTCTTAGGAAGAACTTTGGGCACTTTTTCCGTGGCTTCAGACTGAGAGGTCTGGGACTGAGAACCTGACGGGGAGGCCGAGGCGGGGGCTGCGGGGCTCATGAGCTGCGTGTGCAGGAGCGTGAGCTCATCAAGAGCTACCTTGGTAGCAGCCTCGAGTATGAGGCGCTCATCGTCGGATTTCTTAACGGTCGAGCCGTTGATCTCGACTCCTGCTCGAAGGGGCTCCCAGAA